TAGTCTTCTGAGCCCGCCTTTGATCCTTAGATCGAGACGGGCCAGGACCCCTTTGTTGTTCGGGCTTAGACCTGGACCTTTGTGGAATGAAGGATTTAAAGGCAGCCGTGCGTGTCCTGGCTTCCTTAAACTTCTCCACCACCATCTCAACAGAAGTGCTGAAAAGGTCAGAAGGGGAAACTGGCACATCAAGAAGAAAGCCCTTCTCTTTCGACCCTATATCTGCCAGATTCACCCACAGATGTCTCTCCGTAAGCACCATGCTTAGTGGCACGGAGAGCAAGATCTGTGGTGCGATGCAACTCAGCTACCTCATCAGGGGTTAGACCCTGACCTTTATCCAGGTCTTTCAGCAGATCAGCCTGATAAGCCTGAAGCACCGCCATGGTGTGCAACGAGGCTGCAGCATGACCTGCTGCTGTGTACGAACTGCCATTCAAACAAGATGTATCCTGAAGGGGTTTGGATGGCAGGGAGGGAGCCTTAAGAGAAGATGTCTCCGCCATAGAGAGATAGCAGACCAGCGTCTCTTCAACAGGGGGCATCTTCTCATAACCATTCTCACGCATCCCCTCGATGTTGGCATAACTAGTATGCTGGAATCTATGGATGCAAGACGAGAATGGATTTTTCCAAGCCTTCTCGATCTCCACATGGAGATCGGGAAGAAATGGAAGGCTCACCTGAGCTGCAGGGCTATGGCCAGAAAGAAAACGCTCGTCGAGGCAGCCTCGAGGCGTCACTTTCTTGGCCCGCTTCCACGGCAAGTCAAGCCTCGCCTTGGCATGATCCATAACCTTAAGCAGCTCATCATAGACAGGGCAGGAGGATTGGGAGGACTCAGTCTCGACTTCTTCGTCCTCATCTGACATCTCCTGCTCATCCTGGCTTTGAGCCAGCAGAGCACTAGCCGCTGGATCAGACGATGTAAGAGAGATAGCATCGTCGTCCAGCAGCTCACTCTCATCCGTGACTGATGAGCGCGAAAGGGAAAGACCCTTTTTCAACTCATCAGCCAGGTCCATCTGTGATCCCCACAAGCTCATTTTCCTCCGTGCCTCAGCAGCGGAGGGTCCTGAACCACGGGGAGCTGATGGCTGTTCCTCCTTCCTCGAAAAGAGAGACAAATGAGAGCGGAGCTTTTTCATAGGAAAACACTCACAGTGCACGCAAACTGCCCCCTCGAGGACATCGTGCGCGTGCTCTTCGCCCAAACACAAGACGCAAAGATCGTGCGTGTCATCAGGTGTCAAATAACGAGCACACGGATCCACACACTTCTTAAACTCCTTACTAGTGCTCGCCATGGTAAAGAAGAATAATCGTTCTTACCGGAAATGCATGCTTCAAACAAAACAGTCCTTGGAGACGAAGAAGAGGATCTCGTGTTCTCCTGGCACCCTTTTATATTGTGCTCGGTGATGTTATTGTCGTGTTTAGATGTATGTTTCAGACACCGGTCACGCTGAAGGCGTTCCCCATAGCGACCTCTAGAGGACGCAGTTCAAATTTCCCTCGGAAGGGAACTAAAGTTGTATAGCATCAGACAATTACTGTAGATAGAAACTGTAAATCTTCCTATACTTCTGCCATTGTTGTGTACAATATTTATCATGCTCATTGCACAATGCTCAGCGTTTGGTCTGAGGCTTACAATAACCTTCAGATAACCCAGAATATGAGTTTGATTTGAAATGTCTACTGGGGGGAAAAAATCAATGAGCAAAAAATCAACACTTAGCATCACAACTAAACATGTGGGCTTCAGCAAACAAATACAGAGTATCTTACAGTCTTATTGCAGACTCCCACTCATTCATCATACACTCAATGCTAATATAATATCATACCATTACAACAGCAGACAGTGCAGATGTGTGTTCAGAGGTCTTCATTAAAGCTGCAGATCTCGTCTTGAGTTCTCAGTGAGATGTGAGCTCTCCAGAGTTTCCTTCGGCACAGCAGGAGCTCAAACACACACACTCCTCACACACACTCCCACTGTCCTCACACTCCAGGACTCTCATCCTCATCCTCACCACACACACTCACGGCATGGCAGGACTCGACCCCGTGACCCCTGGCATTACCGGCCCACTGCTCTCATTAACCAGTACTGTGTGTGTGTGTGTGTGTGTGTGTGTGTGTTTGGTGTCAAGGGTGTCGTGTATGTCACGGTCGGGAGGGTTTTTTAAATATGTCTGGGCACATTCATGTCATGAAAACAAAGCGGCTGTGTATTTATTCACACCGGCCCATTGTACATACTAAACCTGTGCTGCCTTTTATTCTACTGACAAACCTCAGCACTCAAGGGGGCGATAGAGTTTCCTTCAAGATAGTGTATTTAGAGAAATGCAAGCACACATCCAGATGATGAAAAAAATGTTCTGAGAACTTTTGGGGTAATGTTCCTATGAAGTTTTAAAAACATTATTTCTGAATGTTCTCTGAACGTTCAAAAATGTTCAGTGTTTTAAATGCTTAAAAAGCGTCTTTTCTTGGTTATGCACACATCTTATCTTATCTTATCTTACTCCAAACGTCAGCCTTGCCATCACAGGAATAATTAAACAATTTTTTAAAATACATTAAAATAGAAAACAGATATTTCAAGTTTTGTAATATTGCATTATTTGTAATAATATTTCACAATATTACAGTTTTACTATACTTTTTTTTAATTAATGAAAACAATGCATATTTATATATTGAATAAAAATAAATAGAAATTAGTTACTGTATGTAGAAACTGTAAATCTTTCATCATCTTCATTGTTGTTCAATATGCAAATATATTAGAACCTATGATACATTATTTTTTGAAAACAGCTATTTTAAAATGTAATAATATGTCACAATATTATAATTTTTATTGTATTAATGACTAAATAAATGCATACTTGGTGATCAAAAGAGAACAACTGTAATAATTCCAAACTTTTGACCACTAGTGTAGCTCATATTATGACCTAATTTTGCTTCTTTTGACTGCCACTGTACACTGTAGAAATGATATGATCAATAACGTAATTTACATTAGCTTTTTAACTCCTCAAAATAAGTTGCAGAATTTCAAGTAACATGAAATTCAACTTGATGGTTTTTAAAGTCAGTTTAAGCACCTTTATTTTTAAGAGTGTATATGATGTAATAGCGTGTGAACACGTGTGCCAGCGGCCCTCAGGGAAACGCTTGTGAATAAGTGGAAAATGACAGGTTCCTCTCCACTGATCGCAGAGCCACGAGTCGCTGTGAGGTCATCTGAAAAGCATGCACAGGAGCGCAGCATGATGGGAAGAATACAGAGCACTCTCTGATTGCTGTCCGCCACCGGCACGGGTCACTGCGCAGCCCGTGTAAACTTACTTTCTCTTTTCATCTGTTTTCCTCACTCCTGCTGCCTTTTATTTGACCTTTTTACATTTTTTCCTCAGTCATATTTTCGGTGTTTTTCACACTTCATCTCCGCCTGTTTGCCCGCCTGTCATTCTTCACCGTCTCTGTGCCGTAGGATGCGCTGGAGGTCCTGGCAGAGAAATATTTTTTATATATATATATATATATTATTTAGATATTTATCAAAAAAAAAACAGAGAAACAAATAGAAACATAATTAGCGTAGCTGCTGTTCCAACCAAGCAAATATTAGTATTGTGATATTTCAATATTATTATAACACCATTTTATGATTATATATTAATGACTATAAAATGTATAATGATAATAATGAATATTATTATTATTATTATTATTATATTTTATAGTCATTAATATATAATCATAATCATAATTATAAAATGGTTAATACTAATACTAATACTAACTCAATACTAATATTTCTTATTTTATTTAAAATAATAATATTTAGTTTCATATTTAATATATTATATATTATATTATATTATATATAATATAATATAATATTATATTATAAATATATATATATATAGTATATAAATATATATCTACTATATAGTTTTCTTTAATTTTATTTTTAGTTCAGTAAATTTTGCTTGGGCACTTAGAAAACCAACAAACAAACAAAATAAATAAAATAAAAAATACAAATACAAATACAATGAAGAACTTCTAATATTACACCACTATAAAATGAAAGATAATTTAATAAATGAGTGACAAAACATTTTAGTTTTTCATAATTCATCTCCTGTTGTATTTCACCCTAAAAGCAAAATCAGTAAATTATGTTATATGTTATAAAGATTATTGTCATGATTAAGCACATTTTCCCCTAAAATTCTCATTAAAGTATGTGGAAAAATAATATATTATTAAAATGGTAATTTATGAAAATATTTGATGAACTGTGTTTTATTTATGCTCATTTAAATGTAAAAAATTGTTAATGGTTATATTAGTTTTTTTCTAATATTTTCATTTTTTGTATTTTTTGTGTTTTTTTGTCATTTTTTATTTTATTTTATTATTATTATTATTATTATTTTTGTAATATATGTCTATATAATTTTCATTAATTTTAGTTTTAGTTCAGTAAATTTTGCTTCGCCAACTCGCTGAAATAAAATACATTTTTTTTTTTTTATATATTATATTATATTATATTTTAGTCAAAAGTTTTTTTTTCCAAGTAACAAAAGTAGTTTTATGGTCTTATAGTGTTAGTTATATGTGTTAAATATTTCTTTATTTAATGCTTTAGAATTAAATTGGTTAATTTATTCAAGATCTACAAACATTTTCATTTAATCATGTGCTTTTTGGCTCTCTATATTATATTTTAGGACCATTATGATTTTGTGGTTAAATGTATTTTGGGCATGTTTTCATGAGATCCACCTGCATTTATCTGAAGATCCTGCAGTTTTTCAGCACAGATATGTGTTTGTGTTTGACAGCTGAAGCTGGAAAAAACAAGGAAGAACTCGTAATATTATGCTGTTTTAAAAATGAAACACAATTAGCTTTTAATAATTGAGTGACATGTGACAAAGCTCTCCTCCTGTCTGCTGCTGTAGGATGCGTTGGAGGTGCTGGCGGAGAACATGGAGCTCTGTGGGAATCAGGGGCCGAGCCTGGCCTTCAGAAGAGCTGCATCCGTGCTCAAGAGCCTCCCTGCTGCCCTGAGATGCCCGGAGGAGACGCAGCATCTGCCCTGCCTGGGAGAACATAGCAGGGCCATCATAGAGGTGCAGCATGAGCCTCGTCCATCTCTCTTTGTCTCTCCACACATCAGCAGTCATCTGAGCTGCTCTGCTCCTGCTGAGGCTCTGATATATATGCTTTCACACCGCCGCTGTTTCTTTTCCTGAGGGGGAAAGCAGCAAGACATGGTTTGGAAAGAAAGAAAGAAAGAAAGAAAGAAAGAAAGAAAGAGCCAAACATCTCAGCAAAAAAACATTTGAGTAGGTTTTAAATGAGGTAAAATGGTGAAGCTCAAACCTGTGAGAACATGTCTGCATGGGTCATATTTCACCCTACAAGCAAAACCAAGAAATTGTCAAGATTATTGTTATGACAATTTAGCACATTTCCCCCTAAAATTCTTACTATTAATATATTATTTAAAATGTCACTTGTGACCCTGGAGCACAAAAGCAGTCTTAAGTCGCTGGGGTATATTTGTAGCAATAGCCAACAATACATTGTATGGGTCAAAATTATAGATTTTTCTTTTATGCCAAAAATCATTAGGACATTAAGTAAAGATCAAGTTCCATGAAGATATTTTGTAAATGTCCTACTGTAAATATATCAAAACTTCATTTTTGATTAGCAATATGCATTGCTAAGAACTTCATTTGGACAACTTTAAAGATGATTTTCTCAATATTTTGATTTTTTTGCACCCTCAGATTCCAGATTTTCAAATAGTTGTATCTCAGCCAAATATTGTCCTATCCTAACAAACCATACATCACTGGAAAGCTTATTTATTCAGCTTTCAGATGATGTATAAATCTCAATTTGAGAAAATTTACAATTATGACTGGTTTTGTGCTCCATGGTCACACTTTGATTTATGCTCATTTAAATGCTAATAAAAAAACGTTAATTGTTAAAATGTTAATGGTCCTAAAATTTGGCCATGTACTTCATATTCAGGATTTATAAATATATTTTGAGATTTCAGATATTTATTTCCTTTTTGGCCCTTACATATAGTGTATAGTACAAAATTATAATATAATTCATTTAAATGTTATTTGAAGCTTTAAATATATATTATTTCTGAAGTATCATGTGACACAGAAGACTGGAGTAATGATGCTGAACATTCAGCTTTGATCACAGAAATAAATGACAGTTTAACAGATATTCACATAGAAAACAGCTATTTTAAATTGTAAAAATATTTCACAATATTACTGTTTTACTCTGTTTTCAGTCAGATAAATACGGCCTTGGTGAGCATACCATTACATTAAACTGTATAATCAGGATTTCTAATATATATGTATACATGCAGTATATATAAGCTTATTGTAGGACACTTTTATGTTTCCCTTTGATTTTGGGGTTAAATGTGACATGTTTTTATGAGATTTTCCTTTGTGTTGAAAGTTGTGGGATTACTGACAGCATGTAGAGTAACTATACTAACGTCTCTATACTGGCCCTCATATCTCTAGTGCTTTCCATTTCTTTGATGAGAATGAATTGCGTGCAGCTTTCCACCAACTGCTTAAACAAATACAGACAATTAAATGCCTAGTTCACCCTAAAATGATCATTCAGTCGTCATTTACTCTCCCTCATGTCATTGACTTGAGTGTGAAAATGGATTGATGTGAAGGTGATGATTCTCCAAATGTTCATTCCTGAGACTTTAAGTCACTTCTGTGATTAATGGGAAGCATGTTTGATGGGAAAGTCAATCATTGCGTCCACATTCACAGTGATAAATGTGAAAGCAACACACTGTGGATGTGAATAATACACTGATTCTGCTTCCTGCAGGCTGAGAGACTGTAAGACAGCAAATAAAGCATCTTCACAACAGCGCCAGAGCGATGGGAGACAACGCAACCAGCGGTTCATTAGACTTATTAAGCTGCAATTAACTAGGATGCTGTGTGTGTGTGTGTGTGTAGATTATTCACAGTTAACGTGTTTAATCATAACAGCTCATGAATGAGCTGGATTGAGCAGTTTGTGCGACTCAGGCGTGTCTGACGTCTCTATCTTCACAGGAGATCTCTGAATGCGGCTCTTCCTCCAGAGTTGAGGAGATACTGAATGATGAGAGGTATCGGACTATGAAGGTAAAGTGAGTCTCTCAGGACTTCAGAGTTTAGCAGGCGGATGAGCGAGTTTGTGTGTGTTCATGTGTTTGTGGCTCAGTTGTTCAGCAGTGTCTTCGGGGTCGGACCCAAAACGGCTGAGAACTGGTTCTGTAGAGGACTGCGGACATTTGAACAGGTCCTGAGCGAACCCAGCATCAGACTGAACCGCATGCAGACCGCAGGTAAACTCTAACATGGGTTTTGTTTCATGTTCATTGTTTTCATGCCTTTTATTTTGTAAAAGTCATGTTCTTTGTCATGTGATTCTTTGTGCCCTCGTCATGTCATGTTTCCATTGGTTCATTGTCTTGTCATGTGGTTGCTAGTTCTGTTTCGTCTTTGGTTGGTTTATGTCATGTGACCCTCTTTGTTTGATATACTGTATATAGCCCTCATTTTGCCATTATCTCGGCTCTAGCTTTGTTGTTTGTGTAATCCTCTGTTGGTGAGTTTCTCGATTATGTTTTGTTCCAAGTCTATCCAAGTCTTTGTTTGTTTTTGTATCTGCTCACGTTTGACTTTAATAAAGCTGCACTTGGGTTCGTCTATACTCGCCTTCAGTGGAATATGTGACATAAACACTGACGCTTCGACTGAATAGGTTTGGAAAGAGAGGTGTGAAATGATAGATCTTAAAGGGTTAGTTCACCCAAAAATGAAAATTAGGCTGTGTTTTACTCACTCCCGAGGCATCCTAGGTGTATATGACTTTCTTCTTTCAGACGAATCCAGTCGGAGTTATATTAAAAATTGTCTTTGATCTTTCAAGCTGTTTAATGGTACTCAGCGGGTGTTGCATTGCTTCAGTCCAAAAGAACTTAAGCTCTGCGGGGTTAACAAAGGCCTTCTGTGGCGAATCGATGCGTTTTTGAAAAAAAAAAATCCATATTCAAAACGTAATAATCACTTTAATGTAGCTTTCGCCAACACTGATGCACTGCAACACCCGCTGACTGCCATTAAACAGCTTGAAAGATCAAAGACAATTTTTAACTCCGACTGGATTCGTCTGAAAGAAGAAAGTCGTATACACCTAGGATGCCTCTTCTTTTATATGCCATTCACTTTACACACAATTATATGCCATTCTTGTAATATAATTTATCATTTAATTTCTTAATCCTAATCTTAATCAAAAGATTATAGGCTA